GCCTGATTAGTTAGATATTTTTTCCCATTGGTAAAAAGATGAAAAAATAATAAATAAATAAGCAAATAAAGATACAAATAAAAAAATAGAATATAACAGAAACAAGTGTGTTTGTCTTATTAAATAAATATAAGTATAAGTATATAGTAATCTTTCTTTTTACAGATTTGACGTGGTATAAGAAAGAACATGAATTAAACGGAATTACTACAAATAATCCTTTTAACGTTAATAAAAGGGTTTTGATGATAAAGGCAAGGTAAGGTTTTATTTAATTCTTTATTTTCTTTTATTTATTATGCTTTTTTCCTATTCTTTTCTTCATTGTCGTCTTCTTTGCCTTATTTTTTTTCTTTGTAGTTTTCTCTTTATTCTTTTTCTTATTCATCGTCTTCCTTTTCACTTTTTTGTCTTTTTTTCAAATTTCTTCTTCCAGTTCGTCCTTTCTTGTCTTCTTTTTCATCTTCTTATTTGTCAGATGACTATTTCTTCACTTCTTCCTCTTCTGTGTCCTCTTCCTTTTCATCACCTTCGTCTCCTCCTACTTTTGCGTCTTCTCCTTCTCCTTCCCTTTTGTCTTCTCCTACTTCTTCGCCTCCTTCTTCATCATCTTCTACTTCTTCGTCTCCTCCTCCTCCTTCTCCTTCTTTGTCATCTTCTACTTCTTCGTCTTCGTTTCCTCCTTCTTCTTCTTTGTCTTCTTCTCCTATTTCTTTATCTTCATAATTTATTTCTTCTTTTTTTCATGATGATTAACACAGACTCCCTCAGATGTTGTAAGGCGATGCGTAACGTCCATAAACATTGTACGCTTTCTTTTTCTTCGTCTTCTTCTTTATCCTAGGCTTCTTTATCTTAGTCTTCTTTTTCTTTTTCTTTGTATTTTCCTTCTTCTTCGTCCTTTAGATTTTAGTCTTCTTTCTTTTCTTAGTCCTTTCCTTCTTCCTCGTCTTCTTTATCTTAGTCTTCGTCTTCGCCCTCTCCTTCTTCCCTTCCTTCCTCATCCTTGCCTTCTCCCATTTCATCCTTTTTTTTTTTTACCTTTCTTCATCATAATAACTAACACAGACTTTCCTTTCTTCCCAGAGAGAGCCTGGAGGTCGCCCACTCCCAGCTCCTCGAGAGGGAAAAACTCGAGCAAGACCTCCAGAAGCGAAACCTCAGCCTCGCCAAGGGAAGCCCCGGGGAGATCTTCCAGTCTTCCTTCAAGAAATCCCACCTGTTCGCGGTCCAGGCGGGGTCCCAGGGCTCTCTGTTCGTGCTGGCGACGAAGGAACTCAAGAAGAGGTGGGTGGTTTGGGTTAAGGAGGATTTCGGCTTGGGGTGATTGGGGGAGGAGGAGGAGGAGAGGGAGGGATGAGGAGGAGGAGGAGGAGGAGGAGGGGAGGAAGAGGAAGAAGAGGAAGAATGAGATAGAGGTGAATAAGGGGGAGGTGGAGGATCTCAAGAAGAGTTGGTTTCTTAATTAGTGATTGACGGAGGAGGAGGAGGAGGAGGAGGAGGAGGACGAGGAGGAGGGGAGGGGAGGAAGAGGAAGAAGAAGAAGAAGAATGAGATGAAGAAGGAGGAGGAGGAGGATCTCAAGAGTTGGTTTCTTAATTAAAGTGATTGAGGAAGGAGTAGAAGGAGGAGGAGGAGGAGGAGGGGAGGAAGAGGAAGAGGAAGAGGAAGAAGAATAAGATGAAGAGGAAGAAGGAGGAGGCGGAGCTCAGGAAGAGTTGTTTTTTTAATTAGTGATTGAGGAAGGAGGAGAAGAATGAGATGAGGAAGGAGGAGGAGGAGGGTAGGAAAGGGAAGAAGAATAAGATGAAGATGAAGAAGGAGGAGGCGGATCTCAGGAAGAGTTGGTTTCTTAATTAAAGTGATGAAGGAAGGAGGAGGAGTAGGAGAAGAAAAATAAGAGGAAGAAGAATGAGATGAAGATGAAGAAGGAGGAGAAGGAGAAGAAGAATAAGGAGGAAGAGGATCTCAAGAAGAGTTGGTTTTTTAATTAAAGTGATTGAGGAAGGAGAAGTAGACGATGGAGGAGGAGGAGGAGCTCCTGAAGTGATTAGGCTTTTTTGGTCATCGAGGATTTTGTTTTAGAGTGACTAAAGAAGAAGGAGGAGAAGGAAGAAGAAGAGGTTTTTTGGGAGGGGTCATTGGAGATTTTGGTTTAAAGCGACTGAAGAAAGCGAAAATGGAGGGGGAGGAGAAGAAGAAGGAAGAGGAGGAAGAACTCAAGAAGAGTCGTTGTTGTTGTTGTTTTTGGGGGGTCCATTGAGGATTTTGGTTTAGAGTGACCGAAGAAGAAGATGAAGAAGACGAAGAAGGAGGGGGAGGAGGAACTCAACAAGAGGTTGGGGTTTTTGGTGGTCATTGAGAGTTGTATTTAAAATGATTTAGGAAGAGGAATGGGATGCAGGAGGAGAAGGAGGAGGAGGAGGAAGAGCTCAAGAAGAGGTTAGGGGTTCGGGGTCATTGAGGAATGGCCCAGAATGAGAAGAAGGAGATGAAGAATATTGGAATAAGAATGTTTTAAACTGCTTGTTTTTAGGTCTTTTGAGATTTCTGTATGACAATGTGTGATGAGAAATTTGAGCTGATTCAGATACGTCTCTCTCTCTCTCTCTCTCTCTCTCTCTCTCTCTCTCTCTCTCTCTCTCTCTCTCTCTCTCTCTCTCTCTCTCTCTCTCTCTCTCCCTCTCTCATTCTTTCCCTCTTTCTTTCTTTTCTCATCTAGTTTCCATTCATCACCACTGAAGAGACCTTCTTCATTACAGACTCAACCTCAGCAACGAATTCGTGACGTTCGATCTCCCTTTACAAGAAACCCTCTCCATAACCAACGAATTCTGTAACAAAACCAAGACCAGGGAGGTACCTGCCGACTGCGAGGCGTACAGACGGTACAGGTCCATCGACGGAACCTGCAATAACTTCAATAACCCTCTCTGGGGAGCTACAATGACGCCCCTCCTGCGGTACCTCCCTCCTTTCTACGACGACGGTGAGATAAGCACAAACGCGCTCATTTTCGGGGGTCGTTTCTGTGAGTTCGGGGGGAGGGGGGGAGGAAAAAAAACATTGGCGATTCGGGGATCTAATCTCTCTCTGGTGTTTTATTTTGTTGGCATGTTTTCTTTTGTTTTTTTGTTTTTTTTTTACTTTTTTTACTATTTTT